GACTTTACAACCATTAATTTCAAATAAGACATTGAATCCTTTATCGCATAATTGACTAATACTCAATATATTATGCTTTAATCCATTCACATATAAAACATTCTTAATTTGTATGGAAGAGGTATTACCTATTGTACCAATACCTTCAATGTGACCTTTTGAATTGTCTCCAAAAGTCACTTCTCCTCCATTTTGGCGTTAAGCTCAATGAACCGGCTTTTGTCTCCGGTCATATGTCTTGAGCATCCACTATCAAGGTACCATGAATTTGAATTTGTTTCCCGTGCCTTGTAGCAATGCTCCTTTCCCTACAAACATAGATTAATTTTTGATTTTTGGTACCCAAATTCTTTTGGGTCCATATTCATTAGTTTCCAAAATCCTAGTCCCCTTAGGTATCCATTTGTGTAGGATATTTTTATCTTTAGTAGTAATGAGTTCTTTAGGAACCCACATACTTCTAATGATTTTTCCATTAGAGGTTCTTTGGGGACCTCTATGATTGTAGTTTCTAAAACTTTTTCTAACAAAGTTGGATTTTGAATTTCCACCTTTTCAAAATGTTTTGTTCCAATTTTATCAAAAGAAGTTTTAAGATCATCAATTTTCTTTTGATGATCATCATTGATCTTTGAAAGTAAATTTTGCAAATCTAAATTTTTCTTTTCAAACTCTTCTAGTTTGATTTGCAAATCTTTGATTTTACTTTCAAGATCGTTGTTGGTTTTGGATATGAGTTTGTTTTCATTTTTCAATTTTGAAACATCATTTTTATATTTTAAAAACAATTTCTCATAATCCGAAGCCAACCCATTGTACTCCTCAAATAACTGATCATAAGATAAATCATCAAAATCGGATGAGTTAGAGGTTACCTTAGAATCTTCCCCGAATGCCATCAAGCACAAGTTTGCTACTTCTTGTTCCTCTTCATCGGAACTTTCTTCATCGCTCCATGTAGCCACATGAGCCTTGTGCTTATTCTTTGATTGACCCTTTTTCTTCAATTGTGGGCAATCATATTTGACATGCCCCGGCTTTTTGCATTCATAGCAAATGATTGGGTCCTTCTCTTTTGGTTCATTTTTGAGGCCTTCGTTTCGTTTGAACTTTCTTCCTTGGTAAGGTCTCATCATTTTTCTGAACCGTTTGGCAAACAATGCCATTTCCTCGTCATCATCATCATTATTAGAATCACTCTCATCTTTTGTGGATTTGAGAGCAACTCCAATATTTTCTTCTTCTCCTTTTCCTTTGGTGTCTCTTCAACTTTATCAAGGTCCACCTCATCTTCAAGCATCATCTCATGAGTGAGGAGTGAACCGATAAGTTCTTCAAGAGTTAAGGACGATAGGTCCTTAGACTCGATAATTGTCGTCTTCTTTGATTGCCATGATTTTGGGAGGGAGTAGACTAACTTCCTCACAAGCTTTTCATTTGAGATGATCTCTCCATATGATTTGAGACCATTGACAATCGTTGAAAATCTATCCGTCATAGCTTTGATGTCTTCATTTGGTTTCATCCTGAAATTTTCATAGCTATGCGTTAGAATACTAATTTTTGATTTCTTTACCTCATCTGTATCTTCATGTGTGACTTGAAGCTTGTCCCATATTTCTTTGGCGGTTGTACACGATGAAACTCTTCCGTATTCATCTGGTCCAAGAGCACAAAAAATAATATGGATAGCATTGGAGTTGAGCTGGAGCATTCTTGTCTCTCATTCACTCCACAACCTTGGATGAGTGAGAGGTTTGATGTATCCTTCTTCTACAGCATTCCATGCTCCCATGTCACTTGCTTGAATGAAGTACATCATTCTATTCTTCCAATAAGCATAGTTAGCTCCATTGAAGAAAAGGAGGCTTGTTGACGGGCATCGAATCGAGACCGGAGTCGAAGTTTGAAGCGGAGGCCATTGATGACTTTAATAATCGATATAACTCTTCCCGAATCGACTCAAGAGGCGATTAAACCTTCAAATGAGTTAGGCTATGATACCAATTGTTGAGTTAATCGATCGACGGAATCGGCCAAGAGGGGGTGAATTGGCAATTAAAAATTTCGTGGAAGCTTTTGCAGAAAAATTGAAAGTAATTGCACAAACGATTTACAGTGGTTCGACTTTCTCAAACAAAGTCTACGTCCACTACCTTAGCTATCCACACTAAGGATTTTCCAACAAATTCACTAATTTGTTCTTTCTTTTGAGGCCAAAGAGATAACCTTACAAAATCCCTCAAGAGTATACCCCAACTCTTGAGAACACTCTTTTTCCCAAAGAGAAGATTACAAATTTGCAAACTTACAAGAAAACCTCACAAGGTAAGATGTTTGCACAATTCTAGAACAAGAAAAGAACACTCAAATATAAATACAAATGAGCGCAAATGGTGTTCTTGAAAGCAAAATGAATATTGAAAGGAAAATTGGCTTGATTTGAACAAACTTGGTGTTTGATGCTTTCTCTCTTGTTTCTCTATGATTTCTTATTGATCAAGGGCTTCAGAACTTGTTTAAATACACCTTAAATCACTTCTGAACGTTGGGGATAATTAATGAAGATAATATAGCCGTTTTAGTGTGAAAACATTTAATAAAACAGCTTGGAGCGTGGGGGGAATCGGTTCCCCCTCATAGGGAATCGGTTCCCTAAGTGTAAAATTCAAATATTTCGACCGTTGAACAGGGGGAATCGGTACCCCCTATGGGGGAATCAGTTCCCTCCGAGCATTCTGGAAATCTCGGAGCCAAACCATTCAGGGGGAATCGGTACCCCCTTGGGGGGGAATCGGTTCCCTCTGAGCAATCTGGAATTTTTGGCTTTGAAATGGTTCGAAATACTTTGAAAGATTATTTTGAAATTGTTTTAAGATTAAAACTTAATTTTACACTTAAGTAAGGATTAAAAATGATTTTTGAAATATTTTTAGTAATGTTTTGATATTCGAATAATTATATCGAATATACTTAGAAAATCATTTTAGAAAATCTTAAAATTCATTTAACTTAATTTGTTATATCGAAACATCAAAATGTTTTCAACAGGTTTTTTTTTCTGGTACCTGTATTTATTTTAAATTGATTATTGGGGCTCTGATTTGTTCATATTTGTTTATTAGGTCCTTTCAGTTTTTGTTTTTACTGTTTTAGCCCTTTAAGTTTCTATTTTTTCCATTTTATTCCTTTAAATTTCTTTTTATGCCATTTTAGTCCTTTAAGTTTTGGTTTTTTCTATTTTAGTCCTTTAAGTTTCCATTTTTGCTATTTTGGTCCTCATGTGTTTGTTAATCCTATTTTGGTCCTTTAAATTTTTTATTTTTCTATTTTAATCCCTTATGAATGTATATAGTTAACATGTATATTTTTAGGTATAACATTAAATAAATGTTATTATTTTATGTTGTAAATCTTTTATTTTACATCGTATTTGTTTTTATTATATTTCCTTAAATATTAAAATTATTCGAATAGTTTCGAGAACGATATTTGTGGAATGGGCGTGGAAAGCACCACTTGATCGAAGTGATGTAATCCAATATGACATTCGAACCAAATACGAACTTGAAATAAATCAATTGTATTTTGCTAATTAATAATTCATTTCATTTTAAGTCGAACATTGCAATGAATGTCTCTAAATAATAGTTTACTTCATTTCATGTAAATTCTCGATCTTCATTCTACATTTTATATTCGATTCATTTTTTTAGTTAATCAATTTATTTTGTTGTATGTAAACATCGATTTTTTTTATTTATTTGATTCGCATATTTATCGATGAGGGAATATTTTTTACGGATAAGAAATAGACGTGATAGCTTTCTTGATGGAGGATTGTTAATCTCGAAGTTTCTTTTCAAGTTAAAGAATTTTCCCTAATTAAATAATTCGAGGCAAATTAATTAAATCTCAATAACCCGATCATAGGTTAACTTTACATCCGATTCATCATTTCCACCATTTACAACAACATGTAAGCAATTCAGTACCAGTTTTTGGGCGTTGTGGGGGTGCTTACCATTCCCCACACGTAACCGACTCCCGAATCCTTTTAAATCGAATCTTTATGAATGCAGACTAGTTTTTTGTCTTAAAAACGATTTTTCCTTAAAATTGTTTTAAAAGACATTTTTAGGTATTCGATCTACCTAACCCAAAGGTCGATGGAGACTCCTTTTCAATTTAATTCCAATTATTCCAAAATCACTAATTTTTCAAAATAAAAATGTCATAATTTTTTAAAAATAACATTTAATTATTTTTAAAAATGGTTATGACACACTAAAGATCCACTATAAAACTTTTCGAGTATGATCGAGAGACAAGATGAGATCTCTATGAAACCACCTTACTCGTATTCTCCTCTACTCTACTCTTCGTGACAACATAGTTTATCGACATCGACAAACAATCAATTCTTCAACAATTACGACTCTTATCCAAACAAAAAGTTTCAGCCGCCTACAACCGCCACAATCCATTTCGTCTCATCAACCATCCTTAATCTTATAACCCTTAATTAATAATATTCATATGAAAGAGAATATTATACACTTGAGTTCACCCAAAAAACTACTCTAGCTGATTTGTTAATGATTGTAAATGCATAAAGGTTGGCATAGCTGAGAAGGAAAAAGTAACACGTACTCAACCCAAGTTTTGAGCAGTAAGTTTTGTTGAAGCCACATGTTTTCTCAAATATAATAATTAGAGAGTCGAAATCTTTAGTATTATTGTCGGGGGAACAAAAGAGTCAGTGTTGAGATATAGAGGATTATACTTGGTTTTTCAGAAGCCAAAATAGCAGTCTCCAACCCACACATCCAACATATATCTGGTTTACAACCCAGCTATCAGCAGACTGCAGTTCATCAACAACTGTTTTGCACTCTTTGCATTCATTTTTGAGCTTTGGGAATTCCAATTCTTCTTTCTACAACACCACCATAAATGGATTCTCTCATCTTCAACCTCAAACCCCAAATCTTCCCGCCATGCAATACTCAAAATCCAAAAAGAGTTCTAACACAAGCGGCAGCAGCGGGGGAGGTGGTTCCGCTACAAGTTCCGGCGATGCCACGGGTCATCACAGGTTATACAGGGGAGTAAGGCGTCGGAGAAGTGGGAAATGGGTGTCGGAAATTAGAGAGCCGAAGAAGCCGAACAGAATCTGGCTCGGCACTTTCCCCACGGCGGAAATGGCAGCTATTGCTTATGATGTTGCAGCACTTTCCCTAAAAGGCCAACACGCCGAGCTTAACTTCCCAAACTCCGCTACTTCTTTGCCTGTGCCGGCCTCCAACTCGCCTCGGGATATCCAGGCAGCTGCTACCTCTGCTGCGGAAGCTTTCGGGGCCGCGAATGATGCTTTATTCGATATCGATTGCAATGAACAACAGGCTAGAATCAATCCGATAGAGCTAGATAAACCGACGCCGGCTTACGAGTTTGTGGACGACGATATGATCTTCGACATGCCGAACGTTCTTGCCAATATGGCTGAAGGGCTGCTTCTTAGCCCTCCTCGCTGGGACATGGACACTCCAGCTTATAATACTGGAGATGCTGAGAACCTTTGGGAATTCCCTTAATAATCATCTTAATAATAATAATATGAATATCGACACCAATAGGATCAAAATAATTATGAAAACTCTCCCTTATACTCTCCATGCGTCATCAAACAAATTAAAGAAGAAAAGGATCAGTGGACACTGTTTTGTATGTAACAGTGACTAGCACATGAACTTGCTTGCTGCTAAAACCTGGGATGGAGTGTTCTTATTATTGTTTTGTACAGTTGTTGCTTTCTTTCTTGTAAATCTTCAAAGTGTCCGTACGCTCTGTTCTCGATTTGAAGCTTGCCTTTGCAAAAAAAAAATGTTTTTAGTTGCTTCTTTCAAGGATTTAAATTACTATTGAGATCACGTTTTTGGTTAACAAAATCAATGATATCGTGGTCACTACAGATATCACAATCCGACAATAACAGTTTCAAACGATACCATTTGTACTCTACAACGATCGCCCCTCTAATAACATATCGATTTTTAAATCCTTGATATGTTCATGACATGAACCAAGTAAAAAGAAGTGAAGGAAAAACAAACAAGAAAGCAATTCAAGAAGACAAACATGGAATGTTTGGTGAAGGAAAAAAGCATAGCAAGTTGGAAGGTTTAGTCAATAAGAATCATTAAAACGTTGATTTAAGTACTTGGATTATCTCTCCCCAACCATTTGAGTAGGGGTCGACATAAAATTATATTTTTTATGTTTAAAAATAAAACATTTTTGTATTAATTGTCTTAGATCGAATTTTTAATATCTAAGGGTGGTTAAAATGAAAATGTTCCATTTAATATAGGGTCTAAGAGGGCTTAAATATATTATTAAATCTTGAGTTAATTGTATCATACATTCTCAATGTAACACCCTAGACCAGTACGACACACAGTCGATCGATTTAAGGTGCTACACAGAACTACCGAAGTGGATGACCAAGTTTTTCTTACTTTCTTATACTTTAATACGACTCTTTATATCTGAGATCCCTCAAAATATATAGATACCTATGTACTGACTATTAACTAACTTTACAACTCAATACAGCTGAATTCATGAATATACATGCCATTTCAGAAACTTGTGATGTATTTTGCTCTGCATTGGATATGGACCTTGGTCTCTTTAAAGCTTCTCAACTGCTATATCTACTAACATGCCCATAGAAACATCTGAAGGTTGAGCTAACTAGCTTAGTGACACACTAACAATTAAAACATACTAAAAGTTTGTCACTGAAATGCTCAAGCTATCTGGTATACTGGTCTGTTCTGCTTTAGTGAGTATATTGGTATACTCACTCTCTATTTTATGGTAGAATCATGGTGCGATTGAGGGTTCTACATCTCGAAGCTCACACACCTCTCTAGTCTATCGAGAATGTGGCCCTCGAAATTTCTACATCGGACACCACACTCTCGACTAGCCCACTCCATGAGTGTTAAACCTTGCTTCCAAACTAGTCAGCTTAAAGTGCCTTGCACACTCCCTAAGAATATTCGGACTGAATCTATAGTTTTGACTCTACTATCTTTTCTCAAAGAACTCGGGTATCCTGATAGTTTTCCCGAGCATTTAAACAAGTTTAGCTTTATTTCACCCTACTTTATTCTTGTCTCTATGGTTAAATTAACCATCATTAATGTTCTCACTTAAAGTCTTATTGAGAGAAATTATAAGCTTTTGGGAAACCTCACTTACCTCTATATTTTCTCTTGACTTAAAGCCCACTTCTCAACCTTGCTATTGATACTGACCTTACAATATCGATACCCTTACTTGCCTCTACACTTTCTCGTGCTTTAAAGCTCAAACCATACCCTTGGTATCGATATTGGCCTTATAGTATCAAAACCCAATATGTAGTATTGATAGGTATTGATACCCCTACAACTATTTCATCTATTTTAACCTAACTTTAAACACTTTTTATAGAATTTATTATAGCGTTTTACACATATTCAATCCCATTTATGGTCATACTATGGGTCTAGGGCCTCTCGGGCAACGTTTTGGCCAAAATAGACTGAAAGTATCGATACTGGCCCAAGAGCATCTATACTCCTACAAAAGTTTCGATACTTTCTATAAGTATCAATCATTTTAACATTTTGTTCTGCCTATTTTCAAAACTTTCTTGGAGTTTCAAAACTATGACCCAAAGTTTCGTTACTCTTGCCCAGAAACTCAGGAATTTTCCCAGAATTAAGAACAAGTTATCCTTATAGTATCGATACTCTTCCTACAGAAATAATAAAATACATACGAAAATGTTATATTTCAATCCCAAAGCCCATAATGATGTCCCCAAACATTCTTTAAAGTCTTATGTGAATACAAGGAGCATAAATAAGGCATTATATCATGTTTATAACATAAATCATGTAATCTACCATTAGCATATAACACTAAGTTTCATAACTTACTCTCAATCTAGAACTCATTTCTAATTATCACTAGGAGTATGAAAGAGTTGTGGGTATGCTACCTAGCCTCCTTGGTTGCTAAAATCTACCTCAACTCAACTAGGAGTCACCTTACCTTTATCATTTGCTTCAGAACTTCACCCACCTCATTGGCTAATCAAAACAAAACTAGGAATTACTGACTTGTCTTTGACTTGGAAACTAAGTTAAAACACTCTATACTACTTAATATTACTCAAAACCAGCTTAAATCTCTAGGTTCCTTTCAAACTCCCAAAAACCCATTTTGATAACAAATTCTAAAACTCAAAAAAATAGAGCTTGAAATAAAATTTGAAGGATGGAGAAAAATATTCTTACTTTGGCTAAACGAATATAAGATTGGAATGCTTGAAACTTGGCTCTTGAAAGGAAGAAGAAATGTAAACTAATGAGAGGAAGAATAAGAAGAATGGGTGAGATATTTTGGGGAGTTTGGTTACATGAAATGATATAAAAAGAGGGGGAGTTTTCAGCTTCAACAAAATGGGAAAACTACACTTTAGGTCATTCACCTATTAACTCACTTTAAAACTATCTCTTAGCTTTAACTCTTGGGCCTACCTTAGGCCCAACACCTATATAACTTGGTCTAACTATCTTGGGAGGTCTAATTGGCTTGATTTAAAGGTCTCGGGTTGACCCAGACTACTACTTGGGTTTTGGAGTATTACAACTCTCTCCTCCTATAAGAAATTTCGTCCTCAAAATTTTCCTAGAGAAAGGTTTTACTCTGAAACTCTACTGGGAATCTATGACAGGTCTTGACCATCATATCATCTAACTCTAAGGGTTGAACACTCGAACCCCTATCTTAAAAGCATCGGCTGAAACTCTCTCTTTTAAGCTAGGTCGTAATAGATAGAAGAATCCTTATGACACTCTACAACTCACTGCTAATGCCAAAACTTTCTTTACTAACCTCTTTATCTACTGGGAAAATACAACTCTGAGGTATGATGACACTTGCCAAAACGTATACTAAAATAAACTTTTATGCTTCTGTTGCGCAACTCTAATTTAATACTCATTTATGATAAGGAACTGCTTCCTTGACCTTATGGTTTCTCCATGAAACCTTCGCTAGAGAAAATATTTTATACCTTAATAGTTGATATAAACTTTAAACCCTTGGTCTTCTCACTGAACATCACTATCTTACTCTTATTTTCCTTTCTAAGCTCAAACTATCAAAACTTACACTTTAAACTCACATATATTGTGGCCTCAGCTCTTTAATATTGCAGATGCAGAAGTACGACATAACTCTGTAGGGCATGTATACTCATAAACTCCTTATTGACACTGACTGACTCTGACCGACATTGACCACCATTGACCCACAAGTCTTAGGAATGTCAATCCTGACGCTCTGATACCACTAAATGTGACACCTTAGACTTGTACGACACATAGTCGACCGATTTAAAGTGCTACATGAAACCACCAAAGTGGCTAACCAACTTATTCTTATATTCTTATACTTTAAAAGGACTCTTTACATATGAGAGCCCTCAAAATATATAGATACCTACATGGTGACTTTTAATTTACTTTACAACTCAATACAACTGAATTCATGAATATACATGCCATTTAAGAAACTTGTGACATACCTTGCTCTGCACTAGATCTGGACCTTGGTCTCTCTAAAGCTTCTCAACTATTAGATCTACTAACCGACCCACAAAAAAATCCGAAGGCCGAGCTAACTAGCTTAGCACCATACTAACAACTAAAACATACTTAAAGTTTTTCACTGAAATGCTCAATCTATCAAGTCTACTGTTATCTGGTCTACTATTATATGGTCTATTCTTCTTTAGTGAGTATACTCGCATACTCACTATCTATTTTATGGTAGACATTATCATGCGGCTTAGAGGTCTATATCTCAGAGCTCACACACCCCTCTAGTCTACCGAGAATATGACCCTCAGAATCTCTGCATCAGACACCACACTCTCGACCAACCCACTCCTTGAGTGTCGGATGTTGCGCCAAACTAGTCAGATTAAATTGCCTTGTGCACTCCCCAAGGATATCCGAACTAAATCTATACTTTCAACTCTGTTATCTTTTCTAAAGGAACTCGGGTGTCTTGGTCGTTTTCCCAAGCATTCAAATAAGGCTAGTCTTATTTTACCCTACTTTATTCTCATTTCTACGTTTGAATTAATCATCATTAATGTTCTCACTTGAAGTCTTATTTGAGAGAAATTATAAGCTTTTCAGAAACCTCACTTACCTCTATACTTTCTCTTGACTTAAAGCCCACTTCTCAACCTTGCTATTGATATTGGCCTTACAATATCGATACCATCGCTTTCCTCTACACTTACTCATACTTTAAAGCTCAAACCATACCCTTGGTATCGATACTGGCCTTACAGTATCAATACCCTCTCTGCTGTATCGATACCCTTACAAATATTTCATCTATTTTAACCCAACTTTAAACATATTTTATAACACTTATTCTAGCATTTTACACATGTTAAATCTAATTTTTGGTCATACTATGGGTGTAGGGCCTCTCGGGCAATGTTTTGGCCAAAACAGACTGACAGTATCG